GCTTCAACTATAACCAAAGTTATATTGTATTGCTTCAAATTTCACCAAGCCTGACATGGTTCACGCCCTCATGGAACTTATAGTTTATTAAATAAACAACTGACAAATAAGAAAAAAAGATTGTTGAAGACAAGGATCAGGAAAGAGAAAGATTATATGCATGACAGTACATATAAAAACTATTCAAATTGATATGAAATGAGGTGGCCCACTAGGAGGTGAATAAGAATAGGCAAACACAGATTTTGTACATCTCCAGTTTTCATCATCATTTTTTCCTCTTTTTTTTCCATCTTGTCATTTTATTGAAAATTTCTATGACATTTAATTAAAATGAAAAGGGAAAGCCATCTTCCTGGCTTTCCAAATTGTAAACTCTTCTTGTCCCATCCTTGTTGAAGGAGCCCTTTACTCAACTACCATGCACAGTTCATGTAAAAATTAAATAAACAACACATTTTCATACTTTTTCTTTTTTTTGAGATGGAGTCTCACTCCGTTCCCCAGGATGGAGTGCAGTGATACAATCTTGGTTCGCTGCAACCTCTGCCTCCTGGCTTCAAGTGATTCTCATGTCTCAGTCTCCTGAGTAGCTGGGATTGCAGGCACCTGCAACCACACCCAGCTAATTTTTGTATTTTTAGTAGAGACAGGGTTTCACCATGTTGGCCAGGCTGGTTTAGAACTCCTAACCTCAGGTGATCTGCCCGCCTCGGCCTCCCAAAGTGATGGGATTACAGGTGTGAGCCACTACACCCAACCTCACTTTTCCATACTTCTGCTAAGCAAAGAAACTATTGGACTTCTGACTTGAGAAGCCTTTGGGAAGTGAGCCCTTGTGGTATCCAAGGAGACAGTAAAATTTTTCCAAAAGTTTCTTAGCATAGCTATTACCACATTCTGTAGGTGCTCAGAATATTTATGGTTTTCCCTCTAATTCCATAATCTCTACCCATTTAACCTCCTTTTTCTTTTGCTACACTCATTTACTTTACATTAGTTAAATAAAGATAGTCAAAATATGCTCAGCTTTTTAATATTAATAGCTATCATTTATCAAATTAAGGGGCATTTTATGGTTCAGGCACTAAGTACCTTAAATGCAATAACTCATCACAACAGTCTTACAAAGCACACCATTAGCCCTGTTTTATAAATAAAAGACCCAAAGGGTTATGTTCTCATTGTTTTGGGCATTGGATCTGAGAATCGAATGCAAAGTCCAGCTCCAGGGTGTACATTCCCAGCATTTTCCCTTACTCACTTTATTTAGATCTCATGTATTTAGATATTAAGGAGAATTATCCTTGTTCAGTTTAAACAAAATCAACAAAACCTGTCTTTGTTTTCAGTCCACTTTAACAAACATTTGTATCTGATCTATGGTTTTTAAATTATTTACTCTGATATCATATGCTCTCTAATTTTCCTTTAACTTTATTCTTCTTTTTAAGATGACAACTCCTAGTGTTATGATGTAAAAAATTAATCCTGGTATACATATTCCATGAACTAAAATTGCTTGATATATAGAAATCTTCCATATGGGATTGACGTCCCCCTCCACTTTTAGACTGAAGGTATTTATTTACTTTCCACTGGTCCTCTGTAGTGTTCTATATTCTTAAACCAGTACCTTCTTTACTTAAATTAGAAATGTTTCTCGCCTATTCACTTCTTTCCCTCCTACCTCTGATGCACAGAAATCTTGCTGCCATTGTTCTGGCCTGATACAGGGAAAGGGAAGAACTCATTGCCACATCTGTAGGGCTGGATTTGTTCAGACTGTCCCTAGCATCTGGAGTTCGAATTCAAATTCTTCACTTAAATGGTAGTTATATTATTGAGTCTTACAACCATTTCTCAAAGCATGGATTCCTGCATCAGAATCACCAAGGGTGCTTATTAAGGAAGCAGGTTCATAGGCCTCATCCCAGACCTACCCAATTAAAATCTCTATGGATGTTGTTCCTAAATCTACATTTTTAAGAAGATAAATATAAAACCTAGTGTTTCCATTCCTTCCTAGAATTTAAGAATAACTTCAGCAGAAGGGGAGATTTGTATATTATCCTGAGAACTTGCGTAGTGTAAGTAGTTTAAGGTTAGGAGTTGGTTATTTAAAATCCCCCACTGCCTTATTAAAAGTTGACTCCAGGTAGCTGGATGATTCTTCGTTTGCTGAGAAAAGTGACAGTTGTGGAAATGTTAGTTTTGGAGATAGAAGCTGGTGCTATATTTAATGATCCTGCTGATACTGTGCATATATTGGGGTGGGGAGTAGGCAGGGAGAGAGGGGAGGGAAGACAATTCTCCAAGAGGAAAGAGAGTAGGTGGTCCGTCTCTGTGTTATTGAGGGTAGCAAAGAATGATGGAATAGCCAAAGAGATTCAGGGGACTGGGGAGAGACTGTTGCAAAAGGGTACTTTCAAGTGAGATGCTGCATGTTACAGTATGAATAATTGCTTTGACCCCATCAATATTCAGAAAAAGTATAAAGCCCATAATTCACTTGAAGAGGTAAGCTCTTTTGAGAAAGCTGATGATGGTATAAGATTCCATCCAGGCTGTTACAAGTCAAAACAGAGTCCACCTGCATATGTGAGATGGCAGCTGTACATCCCCGGGGATGATCAATATATAGAAGCTATGAGAATATTTAATACACCTACCAACCCTTCCAGATCTCCAAGCTATCTGTATTGTTTTGTATTTTGAGGGTGGGGGATGAGGAGAAGGAGATAGTGGCCTGGACTAGAAGGTATAAAAGGATTGAGATGGAAGATATCTGAACAGAAATTGGGAGCTATGGTCAAAATTCTGGTGGGAAGAAGAGGTTTTAATTGTGTAAGGTAGAAGCAGAGACAAAATTAAATTCAATGAGATTTCACTGATGTTAAATGAAAGACATCTCAACTTAGTTTTGGTTTCTGCAGAGGATAACAACTGTAAAGTGAAAGATGGAACTAACAATAGTTGAACCAAAGAAATGGATACAAACTGGACTGGCTGCTGGTGTGAGCTAACCAAGATGTAAGCTCAGCCTGCTTCTGCAGGACAGCTGACTTCTGGTTCTCTCTTTGTCCTCAAGGACTGTTTCTTCAGAGTGTCCACAGTCTTTTTTGTTTCTTCTTCCTATTTCTCATTCATATTTTATATTCTTCAGCCTTCCGTCAGGTTCTCTTTTCTTTTTATATCCAGCCAGTTCTCAGTCAGGTCAGTTCCACCTCTTTATTATCTCCTTCTACTCTCTAATCTCCATTCCTTCTGTAGATAAAGACCTACTCATTGCCCACTTGGGCTACTACAATAGGTCCTAACAGATTCCCTCATTTCCAGTCTTGTCCTTATTTCTCTCCACTGGATGGTGTCTGATCATTACATGCACAATTGTCATTATGTCAGTTTGCTGCGTAAAGTCGATCAATGGCTTCCCACTCATTTCAATTAAATAACAAACATCTTAGTATGGCATAAAGGGCTTTTCACAAGTCACTCTTCTAACCTCTCCAGCAGCAGTTTTAGTCTTCTCCCTAAATGCAATCCTCTAACTTTCTACATCTGCATCATATTCTCTCCACCTCTGAGCCTTTGTGCATGTTCTCCTGGCTGGTTGTAAACACACACCCTTCTCCACTATTCACCAGGAGAACCCCTAGCCTCATATTTCGGGTTCTTTTGCCTTTCTGGAAAACCAATAGGAGATTCCAAGAAATGTGTTAAGTTCTAACTCTGTGAGATTCTATTAGCATGTTTATGAGAAGCTAGTCTTATATCATAATAACTATCGATTACTGTTAACGTTAAGTTTGTTAATCATTAATCAATACAGTGTGCTCAGCATTGAGTTAGGCCTTGGAGAAAAAGATGAGCAACAGATAGCTTCTACCCTTGTGGAAATCACAGTAGGAAGGGGTGATGAATACGACTAAAAGTCACACAACATGATTAGGGCTACAACAGGGCTCTAAAATCACGCAGGAGGAAATGGCCAGGTTTCCTAGGGAGCTGGACATGACTTCACAAATTAGACAAGCCCTTGTACCCCACCATGTTAGTCAGGGTTCTCTTACAGGGACAGAACTAATAGTGTGTATATATGCACATACACACACACATATATGGGAGTCTAAGTATTAACTTACACGATCACAAGTTTATTAACTTACACAATCACAAGTTCCCACAATAGGTTGTCGGCAAGCTGAGGAGCAAGGAGAGCCACTTCAAGTCCCAAAACTGAAGATTGTGGAGTCTGATGTTCGATGGTAAGAAGTATCCAGCACGGGAGAAAGATGTAGGCTGGGAGGATAGGCCCGTCTGTCCTTTTCACGTTTTTTCTGCCTGCTTCATATTTTCTGGCAGCTGATTAGATGGTGCCCACTAGATTAAGAGCGGATATGCCTTCCCCAGCCCACTGACTCAAATGGTAATCTCTTTTGGCAACACCCGTACAGACTTACCCAGGATCAATACTTTGTATCCCTTAATCCAGTCAAGTTGACACTCAATATTAACCATCACACCTGCCTTAAAAAACTAGTAGGGTTTGTCAGGCAGAGAAGGAAGAAAGGAAAGTTCAGGCAAAGGGAATTAGCATATTGTAAAAATCAGCCTTAGTATTATTATTTTATTTTTGAATGCTGCTGCTAACACTGTTGTTTCAACTTTCTCACCATTATTAGCAAGGCCTTAACTTGACTTAATAGGAGTAGTGTTTGTTCATTTTTACTAGACACATTTACTCATTTCATGGCTGGTGTTGTGTTGCTTTATATTCATTGCCTGATGGTCCCTCTTTCTGTGTGGTCACACACAATTTTGAAAGTCTTTTCACGAGCAGTGGTCTATGCAAGTTTCAATCAGCAAAATCACAGCTCTATTAAACCTTGCTGATTCTGGTTTGTCACCATGAAAAGCTTCTTGCTTCCTTTGTAGATGTAAATGTATATAACATTCAGTGCTTGTGGTTTTATTTGGAGTGTTTGGACATATTTACATTTTTGCTTAGGAAAGCATCTTTCTGAACTGTGACTACAAACTGTGAATTCCACTAGGAAACAGGTCTTCAGAATATTGGCAAGGTTCTCATGTTCACTGGTATCTCTATTTAAATATCTTTGGGGTTTGTCTGTGGAACACATATGTTCTTATTAATTGATTACACATTAATAAAAATGATAACGAGTTAACAGTTGTAGACACTTTTTCAATGGAAGTGCTAGCATGATAAAACAAGCTCAGTGAAACTTCTGTTCCATTGGATTCTACTTAACTGAACACGAAGAAACAGTTTAGTTATTATAGTTTAAAAACAAGGGAATTTGATAATGGTCTATTTAAACTGTCTGCAAAAGAAGTTACAGTGATTTTTCTGGCATTCTCTACCTCATAACCTTCTTTCATAGACTCATTTTGTCTTTATATCAGCCTATTTGATTTAGTTCTTTTTCAACTATACTAATAATTACCATTTTATAGACATTTATATTTACTACTTATATATGAATCCAAATAGTCTAGTCTAAGGGATGGTGATCTTAATTACTGTGTTAAACTACACAGTATTAAATATTCTTTATGTTTACAATACCTATTGTAGGAGTTTAGTTTATTTGATGACACAGAGAACCTCAGTTCACTCAAAATGTACCTTATCTTAAACTGGACTTGAGGAGCTGGGTCACTGGAAGTGGTAGGAGTAAGAATACAGGACTTGTCACTTTTGGTAATAGCCATGTCTGTATTTCTACTACCAATCTCAAATGTATGATATCACATAATTCAACAATTATGGCTGAATGAGTGAGTAAATGAATAATTAACATTGCATGGGACATAAAGTCCTCCAGTCATTTATGTCATTGATAAGTAGCTTTTTCAGGTGACTCTTGGTAGTAAGCAAACTCACTACACTAGTAACTCCTTGCATGGCCAATATTAGTCCCAAGAGAGCTGAGATGGAAGAACAGGAAATAGGAGAAACGTGCAGTTATCACAATTATATTTCTTCAAGTTGATAAAATGGAATCATTATTTTTGTAATGAACTCTATGCTTAGATTTCTATCTTTCTTTTAAGTGCTTTATTTCCAAGAATTTTCTTTTCTTTAAGTTTAGGGACATAGTAGTCTTTCAAGAAGAATTATTTCAGTTCAACTTTAGAGTTAAAAGATGCAGGACAAGGGAGCTGATCTCACGTCTTTGATGATGAGTTTAGAGGTGAAATCAGACTACCTGTCTACTCTCTTCCGGCAGCTGAGCAACTCACCATAACCAGAGAAAAACACACTACTGACTTAATCTCATTTTAAAAGTATGACAGTAAACCTCATTTAGACATACAATGCTGCTTGATCATCCTATTACACCTCCCTAGCATAGTAATCTTCTTACTTTCTAAAATGACCATTTTACCCTTTCTCTTGTTTGATAAGTCCCCTAAAATTAGTTCTCATTCCCAGCTGATCATTTTCCTTGAATTTAATTTGAAAATAGCAGTACATAGTCAGGAACTTTCTCATCTTCCTACCACTAGATCTACATACCTACTTGTATGTCAATCCACGCCCATGGTCGTCTTCCTGTTGAAGGCCAATTCTTCTACTTGGGATCTGAATTCTAGGCTTCCTGCCTTCTCAAGGACTTTGTTTCTGCAATAGTTCCCCTCTCTATTCTTCATAGAAATTCTTTCTCCTCTAGAGGAATTTCAATCAGCATATGAATATGCGATAACATTTCTTAGTCCAGACGAGAAACACATGCTTGACACACATCTGTCTCAAGCTGCAGCCCCATTTCTCTGATCATTTTTATAGTTTTGTAGTTATCTATAACTGCTATCTCTAGCTTTCTCACCACACTTTCTCTCCTCAAACTCCTCCTCCACATACGTAAATCTAACAGTCACATCTCTGTCCTATTTTACTTGAACTCTAAGCAGCATTCAAGACAGGTGGTCACCCTCTCCTCTTTAAGGCAGTATTCAATCGGTATAGCAGTTAGCTATTGCTTCATAACGCATCACCCTGAAACTCAATGGCTTAAAATGTTTATTATTGCTCATGAGTCTATGAGTGTTCCAGGTGGCTCATATGACGTCCTCTTTGCTCATGCCCACATTCATGGTTGGCGGCAGGTAATGTGGCTGTGCTGATTTAGGCTGGACTCTGACATGTTGGGGGTTGGCAAGACCTAGAATGACCTTAGCTGGGATATTTCAAAGGTGGCAGCTTTCTGCACACTCAGGCCAACTCTCTTCTACTAGCTCTATCCATCTAGAAAGTAATGACTGTGATACATTGATTACAATTCCTGACTTTGTATTTGTGTGCTAACATAAAGAATAAAAACCAAAATCTCTGCATTCCTTTGCAAGCCTGTAAATTGCATGGTTTTGTTTTTGAGTGCAATGGAAATGAGTAAGAACTGAATGGAATAATTTTTCATTTTGTAGTTTCTGATTGTGCAAAGGATCAAAACAAGGGTAAAGAACAATTAAAAACATGCTAACATTATTCTATTTCTGTGTAAACATCTATAGGAACAGAAAAAGCCTTTTAATGTAAGTACATGTGCAAAAAAGTCAACTTTTTTTGTGTGACTGAGAAAGCTCTCAGATAAGTGAGCTAGCTCTGAAATACATAAAACCTTTTCATATGTAAATAAAGTAAAACCTGGCAGCTCTACCATCTGTGAGGGTGTGAGAGTTCTTGGGAAATGACTCATTCAGTTAGGCAAAGATGTGAAACCATATTTGAATGTAAAAATATGCAAACTACATAGAAACTAGGATACTGGGGACAGCAACAGCACATGCTCTTAACAATAGAGTGTTTAGAATAGATGTGAGATTGTTGAGAAATTGACAAATACTACAATAGTGAATGAAAAAACTGAAAGTAACAAATACTGCTTTTGAAAAATTGATCTTAGTATGTAAAAATAAGTGTTAAAGGGCCTACAGAGATCATTTATTTCAACACCATTTTATGGATTACAGCACTAAAAAAGAATCTTAGGCCCAGAGAGGTTGACTGAGTTGCCAGTAGGACATAGGAAGCTGGTGGTGCTGGCAGGACTGGATGTACAGTGTGCTGACACCCAAGTCTCATCTTTTGCCTCTAGGCCTGGCTCCATTTTACTTCTGAGAAAAATCCTCTACTGACTTTAATGTGTTTCTACAGTATTTAGGGCCTAAAAGATTATCCTTTCTTTTGTGCAGGCTCAGGAATTTATTATTAACTTGAGTGCTCCATGTAACATATTCAAGCTTTCACATCCAGAAAACTGGCGTCTTCATGGTTTTCATGAGATAAGACAGAAGACTACATCTTACGATATAAGGCAAATCACAATGCTTTGTTTTTCGGAATTATCTTTTCACATGATAACTCTCCAAATGTGCAATTTTAGTCATTATTTTATTTATCTAAGCTCTGCAGGATAGAGAAATTGAATTCTCCAAGTCTGTGTTGAGTAGAAATCCTCCAATGCTGTCCTAATGTCAGGGAGACACAACTTTAATTGATGCCTTTCCCTCCACTCCCTCAAAAAATGGGAGCCAGTTTTCCTAGGAACGTTTGATATCTTTCTCTTCTTTAACTGGGAATCAGTTTTCGTTCTAATAAATGTGGAATTATATCTCGTAAAACCAATAAACTGGTTTGGTTTTCCTTGCCCCAAAAGTTGGGAAAATGGAGAAACAAATAGAATTCAAATTTTCCTCCATTTACCTAACATGCATATAAAATTGACTATTTCTGAGATACTAAGATATGTGATAAAATTTTAACTTTTTCTCCTAAAAAGAAACAATGATACTAGTAATCTAAAACAGGGATCCCCAATGCCTGGGCCACAGACTGGTGTCTGTCCGTGGCCTGTTAGGAACTGGGTCACCCAGCAGAAGGTCAGTGGTAATTGAGCAAGCATTACCACCTGAGCTTGGCCTCCTGTCAAATCAGCAGTGGCATTAGATTATCATAGGAGTACGAATCCTATTGTGATCTGCACATGTGAGGGATTTAGGTTGCATGTTCCTTATGAGAATCTAATGCCTGATGATCTGAGGTGGAACGGTTTCATCCCAAAACTATCTTGCCCTGCTACCCCTCCATCCTTGGAAAAATTGTCTTCCATGAAACTGGTCCCTGTTCTAAAAAGGTTGGGGACCACTGATCTAAAACAATGATCAATTAAAATCATTTCAGTTTATGATTTTAATTCCAGTCTAAACAAAAGTTAATTATTGTTACCAAACTATACATATAGTCAGAGATTCATATATTTGAAGATTATATGAATAGTTTGGTGACAATAATTAACTACTGTTTAGACTGGAATTAAAATTTGTCTGCATCTATTACTTGAAAATCAAAGACTTTATAGTACCCATGCTTCTTACTAATGCAAATACAGGAGCTGTGCAGGTAAGCAGTTTGGTAAGAAGTGAAGGGTGTGAACATTGGAGTCACATTGCCCAGTTCGAAGCCCAGTGCTGCCACCGTTATACAAACAACTCCAGGCAAGTTCCTTTGTTTTGCTTCTCATTTTGTAAAACAAGAGCACTAGTACTGCTTACACAGTAGGATTGAGATAATATATACATTTTGCTAACAAAGTACTTAGTATTTAACAAGAATTTAGCTTAGCTAAATTCTTGACTGGGCTAGTGGTACACTAACCTAATATATCCCCTGGGAGTTTTCTTTGTATTTCTTTTTTTTTTTTTTTTTTAATTTTTTTCAAAGTTCTAAAATCTGTTACTAGCTTATTTATCATTTACTTTTTTCTTTTAAAATAGTATCTGTTTAGTTGAGCTCAGACAGACAGAATGATTATAAAACCCATCTATGTTTAAAAATGGCTATATAACCCATCATTCTTTGTCTCTCTCTCTGTTTTACTGGTTTCCTCATTGATTGCTGAATTAAATAAAACCATTGACATGTTCATTTTTAGATCTGTTGAAGAGTCATAATTATATCTTGCTTAAAGATGATCTTTTAGCAGATTACCTTTTAACACAATTAAGAGTACATTTTCTAAATCGATGAAAAGGAGAAGGAATAAAAAACCCACGCCCACTAAAAAGCTGTCATGACCATGTATTTCTTTCAAGTGTTAAAAAACATGTTACTCTTCTGCATTCTTGACTTACTCCAAGTTAAATGATAAGGTCATAATTATTACTAGAAAAGATATAGCAACAGTGGTATTTTGTTTTGTTTAATTCAGTGCTGATGTATGAGTTATGTCACATTTCCTGTAAATGTAAATTTAAGGTTCGCATTTCAAATTTCTTAATATAAAAACATGAAGCCATAAGCAACCAGGTGGCACTCACACACCTTTTTTTTTAGTTGGTGGCTCTGTAGTTCACATGGATTTCTGGTTTCATGTCACAGACCATACTCAAGAGCTGGTTCATCACACTTTCCATATGTTTATTGTAGTGTCCATTAAGTTCTTGTATCTTCCCTAATGTTTGTTCTTCTATTTCATCTGAGAGATTACTCTGAGAGCCCATTATCTACCAAAACAAAACAGACAGAATTCATATCATAATACAATTGTTTTACAAGTTAAATTTGTCCTAGCCTGTTTACTGATGATTGTCCTATGATGCACAATTTTTGTAGATTTTTTTTCGGAGAACCAACAGGATCACCAATGCTATGAGTGGGAAGGATGAACTTTCATAAAATATTGAAACTGGTCATAGCAGGTTACTTTCACTTTTAACCAACCTCCACATGTTACAAATTGAATACACATTTGTAATCATTAAACCGTGCCCAGAAGTTCTTTTCCATCACATTTTTCATGTATTTATAATCGTTTCCATTTAGTTCCCATATATTCCCTATTGTTTACCTTCCGAGTTATAAGTCTGGAAAACATAGTTGAAAGACACCATTAAACCCATTTTTGCTGGTTTTTAAAGACTGAATAACTAGTTTTTCTATTTTTAAAATACATTATCTGAATTGTGTCTTGTTTTTATCAGGAAGACATTCACAATGTGTCCTGTAAGATACCTTTATGTGCACAAATGTATTTCTTTTCTTCCTTTCTTTTTTTTTTTGAGACAGAGTCTTACTGTGTCACCCAGGCTGGAGTGCAATAGCGTGGTCTTGGCTCACTGCAACCTCCGCCTCCCAGGTTCAAACGATTCTCCCGCCTCAGCCTCGCAAGTAGCTGAGACTACAGGCATGTGCCACCACACCCTGCTAATTTTTGTATTTTTAGTACAGACAGGGTTTCACTATGTTGGCCAGGCTGTTCTCAAACTCCTGACCTCATAATCTGCCTGTCTTGGCCTCCCAAAGTGCTGGAATTACAGACGTGAGTCACAGCACCCAGCTGCTGAAGTGTGTTTCTTTAGGTAATAGATATTATCTTGAAAAATTTAGTGTAAGTTGTATTTCTTTCAAATTGAATATGCTTGTTCATTTAGTTACATCGTAATTGTAGACACAGTTTAATGTATCTTTCTAATTGCTCTTTAATTGCCAGAGATTCCCATTATTTTCCATTATCTTCTCTTTCCATGTAGCTTCTTTATCAAGGAATGATTTGACCAAAATATAATTTCATCAGAGGAGTTAACAATTTAAAGGAATTCTGCAGTGAAACACTTTGAAAGTTAGCCTTTACTAAAGCAAAAAATCAACTCCTAATGTATCTCCTTTGTAAATTCAGCCTTTCTTAAACATGGCATTTTAAAGACAAGAAGACTGTTTTATGTTTGTTTGCTTTTTCCTTCTGTGAGTGTTTAGGAAAAGTATGCATTTAATTTAATCCAAGATACTCCAGTAATGATTGACTTCTACTTCAGGGTGGTTAGACTATTCTAAATTCTAAAATCTGCATGATCTTTTTGAGTCCTAGGCTTGAAATCAAATGCCACTGAAGTGCTTGGGTTCGAGTTCTTTTCTGTTTACAGTCCAGGCAATGGGGTCTTCTCAGTTCAAAGAAAATAATTTTGAAAAGTTACAGCTTCTAAGACATCAAATAACTTTTGCAGAATAACATTTTGATAAGTGAGTATACAAGAAGCAGAAACATATGGATCGAATTTCCCTTGCTAAGAAGAAATTTTAAAATAGAAGAGAACTACTTATTGAAATGGTTCTACCAAGCTCAAAATTTTTCCTCTAAATTTAGTGTCTTAAGTGGGATTCTACTAAATTAAAAAAAATTATCTAAATTCAATGTCTTCTAGTGGTAAAAAATAAAAAACAAACTTGTGAAACTATTACCTACTTTTCTTTGGAACAGTATTAAAAATAGTTGTCTTTGGGTTGGTTTAGTGTAACTGTTGCGAATGACTTTGGAAAAGTTAATCTCAATCTCAGGTTCTCTATTTTTTTAAATAGGGATAATATCACCCATTTGATAAGATACTATAAAATGCAAACCAGATTCATTGGTAAGTGTGCAGAGCAGTTGTGTCTAACAAAAGTGTAATATGAGCCACAAAGGCAGCTCATATATATATATATATAATTATAAATTTTCTAGAAGCCACATTAAAAGTATAAAAGAAGTAGGTGCAGTTATTTTAATAATATATTTAACCTAATAATATTCATATTTTGACATACAATCAATATAAAAATTATTACATTCTTTTATTTCATACTAAGTCTTTGGAATATGGTATGTATTTTACACTTAAAGCACATCTTGATTGGGACTAGCTACACTTCATGTGCTTAGTAGCTACATGTGAAGTGGTCACCATTTTGGACAGTGCAGCAATAAATGACAGCTGTTAATATTAGTTGAATTCTTAATGTGGCTTTTCAAGACACCCTAATCATTTTCCGGACAGACTTCTAAAGATGACTCTTAGCACAGAAGTTTAACTCTGAACAAGTAATCAGTACATGTTAGTGATTACTAGTATAATTTTCACTAATTACTCTACTTGTACTTTTCAAATTTTTCCAATCTGTTTTGTATTTTCAGAAACATTGTAATACCCTTGTAATATCCCATAATGCTGTGTCTCATCCTGCATAATTAAACCAAATATTGTTTCTGAGTTTATTTGATGCCCAGTGATTTGAGTTTCTGCAGTGTTTCCTATGCAGTACTATAACAATGACTAGTCATATACTATTTTAAATGGTTTTCCTAGGGAAGAATTCCATATCTTGATATCTGCAGGCCGAGTATTGATTTAACCCATGTAGGAGTTTCAGTGAATGAAGGTAAGTGGCACAAAGGCAAGAATCATGTTCCTTGATGTATTATAAGTGCCTTAAACACTATCTGACACTTAATAGATGCTCAATATACATTCGTATTGAGTAGAATGATCAGATCTCTTGATATTACAGAGAACTCATTACCTATGTTCTGTTGCTCATGTTGGTGGAAGCCTGTTACCTGAATGTTTGGAAGAATGTGTAAGTTAGTAGTCGATAATTCTGTAACATGTCATGATAGGTTTAAGAGTGACATGTGAGGACTTCTCCATTTTAATTTTCAGAATGTCAGTGTTGAAACTGATGTATAGCTTTACACCATAATGACTGATGGTGATGGAAGATCTTTAAATATTCAATACGTTTCCTTATAAGTTGTTTAAATGTTCCAGTTTAAGGTAAAGCAGAGCTTCAGGTCCCATCGTCACAAGAAAAACAATTTTATGCTCTCAATTTGTGACTGTCTCCAGCAAACAAAATGCTCTTGGGATATAAATTCAGGAAGACAGAGTAAAGATATAAAGGTCTTCAGTATGCCCAAGGCAACCATTTTCAGATTTTTTTTTTTTTTTTTTTGAGACGGAATCTCGCTCTGTCTCCCAGGCTGAAGTGCAGTGCCACGATCTGGGCTCACTGCAAGCTCCGCCCCCCGGGTTCACAACATTCTCCTGCCTCAGCCTCCCGAGTAGCTGGGACTACAGGCACCCGCCACATCGCCCGGCTCATTTTTTGTATTTTTGGTAGAGACGGGGTTTTACCGTGTTGGCTAGGATGGTCTCGATCTCCTGACCTCGTGATCCGCCCACCTCGGCCTCCCAAAGTGCTGGGATTACAGGCGTGAGCCACCGCGCCCGGCCCATTTTCAGATTTTCTATTTAGATTCATGATCTATCTGACTTTTACTTGTATTAACAACAGATTTAATTTTTCTACTATAATCCAGATTTCTTTTTAGCAATGTAATATCTTCTTTAGATAGGGTAGCACTAAGGAAGGGATAAATAGATTTTTGATGAAACAATATTTGCTAATGTACAGCCCACATTGGGATACCTGCTTCCATTGATAAGTCAGGGAACTTGAAAAATCACATATGTTAACAAGAGCTAAAAAGCAACAAAAAGTAACATCAAGATACAACACCCACAGCAGACAGGAGGCTGGTTTCTTGAGTCTCCTCCCAGACCTCTTAATTGCCCTGGGTTAATGAGGATGAGATTTAAGTGGAATAGCAATATGCCTGACATATGGAGGTCACGCCAAGGAGAGAAGATCTGTGCTAATGGTTTTACAATATGCTTGAAGTAGCCGAGGCTTAAATATGCTGACCTTTCTATGTGAGCTTTTGATCAAATAACTGTGAAATTGGCTTGGAGTGCTAATTATGAGAGCGATGAGGAGTTTTAATTATTTAATTATGAACTAAAGCAGAAAACAAATAACCAGAACAAGATATATATCTGATAAGATTCCTCTGGGGAAATGATATTTGAAGAGATTTAACACCAGCACTTTCTGAAATTGTGATCAGTTCTGTTATTACTTAAAAAAATGGAAATAATTATATCAGAAATATCCTATACAAGATAATCAAAGCTGGAGAATGTTAAGGATGATTATTTTCTCAGGTCCTAATAGATTATGGCTATAATAGGATTCAATAAGAAAGAAAATCAAAGAAAAAATATTATTCGTTCTTTCAACAAATATTTATTGCATGTCTACTGTGTGGCAGGCACTGTTCTAATGTCTAGGAAAATAGAGACCAAAACCAAGAAATGATTCTTTTGGTGTTTAAAGCCCCAGAAGGAAAGATAGGCAATATGCAAAAAAAGTAAATATAAAATATATCAGATAATGCTAAGTGCTATGAGGAAAAAGAATGGACTACAATATGTATTTATGACAGACACAATTTTAGATAAAGTGATCAGGAAGAGGCACTAACAATTGAATTGAGATCAGAGAAAGATGAATGTATCTAAAGAAAAAAAATGTAGGACATGAGAATGGTACATGCAAAGGCCCTGTGGTAGGGGCATGTTCTATCTGTTGGAGGAAGAACAAAAGACCAATATGGATAGAACAGAACTAATAGAGTCTAGGGTGGTAGAAAATGTGGTGAGAGAGATAGCCAAAGGCCAGTCATGGAGGGTTGTATGAACTTAGGACTTTAGGATTTCTTATTTTTGAACACTGATAAAAATTTGTGTGTTTGCTGAGTGGTCCACTTAATCCTAGAAAGGACATTTTTTATTTGACAAAAAAGGTTTTGTTATTATGTAGTCCAATTTATCTGATCCTACATGAACTCCTTATCCATTACCATTAAAATAAAAGTTGTAAATAAAGAAGATTTCCAAATTGCTAATAATTTATTTGAAATGTCAGGCTTCTGCACAGAGCTTTGTTTATATTTTTACTGAGGCCAAAATAAAATGTCATAAAAAATTTAGTTATGATACATGGAGTTTAGCACTTTCTTTTAGCCCATGTTGCAACATGGAAAGGAAGGTGTAGGCTCCAAAGATTTCATGCATTTATGATTTACAGTAAGCTGCAGATATTTAAAAATATGCCAGTGTAGGAAAAAGCATTTCTTTATCTCTAAATGAAAGATTTATTGAATGAGTCAGCCAGTTGCAAAGGGAAACATCAGGAAATACCAGAAAGCTTTTCAGCAATTTGCAGCAATATCTACTTTGGTCATTTGTAAATCTTGGAAATGTTATTTATGTAACTAAACATATATATTTATATAAAAACAGGTTCTCTCAAGTTTTTGCTTACTAAAATATGTTAGTCAACAATCGGTGGTAGGAATGAGACTTTAAGCAATCCATTCAACTTGTATATTTGTGAATATGATTTTTAACATATACTATATATTACGTAATAACTACTGATTGACCTTTTGTGTGAGAAATTAAAAATGCGTTGAAAGTGAAAATGTAAAATCAGTAATTATTATGTTTAAGATTTAGCTTGATGTTCAGCTTGGTTGAACTATATCTGCTCAATTGCAGCATTTTTTTTCTCTCAGTATTCTATATTACACCTTATGAATATGCGTCTTATCTATTCTGCATAAGAAACAGCGCTGACTTTCTCTTTTTTTTTGTTTTTGAGACGAAGTCTTGCTCTGACGCCCAGGCTGGGGTGCAGTGGCACGATCTCGGCTCACTGCAAGCTCCGCCTCCCAGGTTCACACCACTCTTCTGCCTCAGCCTCTCGAGTAGCTGGGACTACAGGCACCTGCCACCACGCCCGGCTAAATTTTTGTATTTTTTTAGTAGAGATGGGGTTTCACCGTGTTAGCTAGGATGGTCTCTATCTCCTGACCTTGTGATCCGCCCGCCTCGGCCTCCCAAAGTGCTGAGATTACAGGAGTGAGCCACCGCGCCCGGTCAGTGCTGACTTTCTTACTCACCTTAGATTGTATTAATCGAAACTCCTTATCTCTCTGCATTCTGTACTGGTCAATTTCTACCATTGCTTCCTCCTTGGCTTGCTTCAATCGCTTTCCTTTTCCTGAAAATTAACAATTATATATATACACATACATTAACAAGGATATATAAAAATAACTGTATATATATGTTACACACATATGCATATGGAACTGCAAACTTAGTTTTTTAAAAATAGATACATTCTTCATTATTTTTTGATTATTTTTTCTAGAATGGCAAACTTTACTAAAAAACAATAGATATTGAAAAATTTATTATTTTCTATTGGATTCTTTAGGGCACGTAAATGAAAACTTTTTTTTCACACTTACATGTTTAAATAAAATATCTGCCCATTTACTCACAGCAGTAATGCCAGAGAACAGATTTTAGCTGTCACTTATTCAAAAAGACATTATTTGGTCAGATTTTCGGTCTTGATTTGCTGCCAGAATCCTTCAGTCCACACCAACTGGATCCTATTTAACACTGGCAGATCTCCAAAATCGCTACAAACATGCAACTCAGACTCTATCAAACTAAACTTACAATTTTTAAAAACGGTTTATTGGGATTTTTCCTTACCATTTGTTGACTCTACAATGTCTGATTAAGCCTCACAATACATCAAAGCAATTTTTTTTTTTTTTTTTTGTAACTTTCTCTGAGGGGAACTTGCTTGAAAGTGGCTATAAAACCAATTGTTTTTAATGATTAGGAGATTTAGTTAAGTAGCCTTTTTTCTTTTATTAAGAGCAAAGGTGTAAGCCTTAAGCTAGCAGACAACATAAATGAAAGTTTTAGACGAATACAATGCTGTGGTAATCATTAGCTGAGCACATGACTTTTTCTGACAACAAGAGTAAGTTTGGTGGGGGGGCGCGGTTATAGACTAATATTAATTGGTGCTTTGCTCTCTCCACCCACCACCTTGGGGCTTAGCTACTAATGCTTCATGATCATTAAAACTTTAAAGAAATTCTGAACTACATTAAAATTCTTTTTTTCTATGAATCTATTGTCTTTCAGTTTCAGTAAAATACCTGTATTCTTTTGCCCATTTAATAGATTTTTCCTCTGATAATGTTTCTTAAGTATTGTTTACAATTTCTGTGAACCATTTGTTATATTGTAAAGACTTTGAACTATAAAAACATGTGTTCTCAGGTAGCATGAAAGAAAATCCGAGTGTAAACTTTTATTTGTCTTCCATTTACCTATGTATGTATCTACCTTTGCAGCATTTGCACAGAGATTATTTCTCAATTTCTTTCTCTTCTGAGTTGCTTCACTAGTCACTGTATGTATGTGGAATAAAAAGAGTCACTGAGTTACGTATTGAAATGTGTCTCTTTTAATGTCTCCCACCCTTGAATGGAACTGGGAAGTCCTCATTCAGGACAGACATTTCGCTCTGCCTACACTTTCTTTAAAATCCAAGGTCTGCTGAAAACTGCTGCTCTTCTGTTGCTTGAGGCTTAATGGAACATTAATAGCAATGCTTATCTTTATCTTAATTAGTGCTCATTACCATTTTGTATATACCGATTCCTTCATTCTCTATAGTTGTAACCATTTTGTGACAACTACACGTATGTTATTCACAGAGATTCTCTGTGAACAGAATAAATCAATGATATGTTGGTAGGAAAAACTATTCCTTGATCTCCAACCTGCTTTCTTCTATCTGTTTGTCATTTACATCAGGACAAAAATACAGAATGTTAATGTATTGATTTTTGTTTAGTAATAATGGGTTGTAGGATATATAATTATTTTACAAAATAAATCACATGCCTCACTACTCTCCATCTTAATTGCATAATATCTAAAAATAGTGGTTTTAAAGTTATGCCTCTCTAGCACATTAAAAAAAAAATCATAGGAAAGGCTCTGTGTGCCCTACCCTTGAGCAGAATTCAGCACTCCACTAAGAGGCTATATATTAGCTCCATCACACGGTGACAGGCTCAGAGTGTGTCTGTGATTCCCTTGTCATGGCACCAGTCACCTGCTGGTTCTCATTCAATTAAATGGGAGAGCCACAGGGAAATCGTTGCTGGCACAGCAATTTTCTGGATAGACTCAGCAGCTGCTGCTGTGTGAGAGCCTGCATATGCTGCACCTGATTTAATCCAGTGGAAAAAAACTGGAGCCTAAAGCCCACTGTTCTGTTAGAGGTGAAGCAAAATGCATGCATCAAATCCACTCATACTAACCTCTAACTTGCTTCTCTCTCTGTGTAAGAATATGGCAATTCTGAAATTATACTTATTTCTTTGTAAGCATTAAAAACATGGCTGCTGTGACCAAAAGTGGGAAGAAAAGACATTTGGACTGATTTTAAGGTGGTTTGTGGGAAAAGGATTAAGAAAATCAATTTTGGGCAGCAATTTTACACACTGAACTCTGTGTAGGAGACAAAGGGTAATGCTCAAAGATGGAATCTTCCTGGCCTTCTCATTAGGACAGGCCAGGTGAACTGACTGTTCCCAGAGGTGATAAGTTCGTGAGGTACAGAGAAACCTAATTCTGTTGATTGCTAAATTTGTTCTAGACTCTTCCTGATGGAGAAGATAGGATTTCATTTATCATCTAAGGCAATCAGAATCATGCACTAGGCATCACTGCAATAAAACATTAGAAGCTTTGTAACTTTTAGCAGGTTACTGAGTTTTCTCATCTATAAGACAGAGTTAATAATGTACTATAAAAAGTTATTGGAGAGATTATTAAAATGTATATAAAATGCTTGACAAAAGTAGTTATTTAATTATTTTAAATCATTATTAGGAACACAGGTCCAATTCCTAGGGCCTTTTGCTTAAAAAAAAAAAGGCAAGGAGTGAAAAAAAAAGGAAGGCAAGGAGTAAAGCATGAGTTTGAGGAGAAGTCCTCAGGCTGTCACTAGAGAAGCCTCTGGAAGCTTTCCCTAGGATATTTAATTGGAGGTATGCAGAGGACAGCTGGGCAGACAAGATTGGGATGCAGGTGGAAGGTCTGAAATGAGGACAGAGATTTGCATGTTAGTCATTGGGGCCTGTTTATATGCTGGTTATAGCAATGGGATTTAGACAGAAGTCAAGGGAGAGTATACAGAATGAGGAGAAAAGAAGGCTAAAGTCTCAACTTGGGGGAATATTAACACTCAACCTTCAAGAAAAAGGAGGAGGAAGCTTGGAAGGAGCAAGTAGTAGTCAGAGAAGTAGGAGAAACCAAAAGATGGAAGAGAACATTCCAAGAAGGACATGGCCAGCAGTATCAAATGACACAGAGAACTGACACAGAGAACTGAAATAAGAGATATTTAATCAATGTTACTAGATGTCTATTATGCACCACACACTATTGTAGATCTATGGATATAGCAGTGAAAGCTGCAAACTTTTTGTTTCATGGAGTTTGTGTTCTGAATGTAGTTGGGGAGATAAAAATAGAAAATGGACAATAAGTATATAATATGTCAGGGATGATGATGAAGAAGAAAGGAGAATAAGGGGTAGAGAAACATGGTGTTGGATTCTACTTTAGACAGCTCAGGCCTCTCAGGTGAAACAGTATGTGAACAGAGGCCTAAAGGAATAAGGCAACTAGTCATGCAGATATCTGAAGGGGAGAAGTCTTCCAGGCAGAGAGAACAGCAAGTGCAGAGGCCTTGAGGTGGGAGGATGTTTGCCATGCTGAAGGGAGAGCAAAAACACCATCATGGCTGGAGCAAAGAGAAGAGGATGGTTGAATGTTAGGAGATGGTATTAGATAGTAGCAGGACCAGGTCATATTGATCTCACAGGGCATGGTAAGAATTTTGGTCTTTGGAATACTAAATTCATGAAGGGTTCTTAGCCAAGGCGTGACACAATACTACTTGTGATTTAAAAGGATTTCTTGACTGGGCATAGTGGCTCATGCCTGTAATCACAGCACTTTGGGAGGCCGAGGCAGGTGGATCATGAGGTCAAGGGATCAAGACTATCCTGGCCAACATGGTGAAACCCCATCTCTACTAAAAATACAAAAATTAGATGAGCATGGTGGTGCATGCCTGTAGTTCCAGCTACTTGGGAGGCTGAGGCAGGAGAATCTCTTGAACCCAGGAGACAGAGGTTCAGTGAGTCGAGATCACACCACTGGCAACAGAGTGAGACTCTGTCTCAAAAAAAAAAAAAAAAATTTCTTTGGCTGGTGTGGTGAAAATAGAAAATACACTGTGGGGTAAAGGAGAAGCAGGAAGATCAGTTTGGAATTTGTTGCAATTGTTCAGGCAAATGTTAATAATTGCTGGAAATGGTAAAGTAGTAGTGGAGCTGGCAAGAAGAGGGTAGATATATTTTGGAGGTGGAGTTGATACATGAGCATGAGAGACAGGTACGAGTCAATGATGACAGCAACATTTTATTTTGGGGATGGAGTCAATACTGCAATTTCGTTGATATGCCTATTCAATATCCAATAGTGACGCTGAGAAGGCTGACATTTACATGAACTTAGAGATCAGGGAAGCAACAGGTGCTGGGAATATCAAGTTTGGGAGTCATCAACATGAAGCTGGTATGTAAAGCCATGAGATTAGATGAGACCACCTCAGAAGTATCTGCTGATATATAAGAGAATAGGTCCAAATTGGGGTCCCGACTTTAGAGATTGAGAAGACAATAGGAAGCCAACCATGAGAGTAGTGTTCCAAAGTCAAACGAAGAAAGAGTTTCAAAGATGAAAGAGGGATCTAATTGTGAATGAGATATTGAATTAACATTGGGTTTAGCAAGACTGGTGATCTTGGCAAGAGGAGCTATTGGTCGAGTTATATGAAGAAATGTTCAATAGAAAATGGAATGAAAAATTGTAGACACAGGGAATATAGGCAATTTCTTTGAGAAGTTTTAACCAACAAAGCAGAACAAAGAAAATAAAATAAGGGCTCAGGTGGTCAAGTGGATTTGACAGAGGGTTTAATTGTGCTCCCCGAAAAGATATGTTGGAGTCCTAACTCCTGGTACCTCTAAATGTGACCTTACTTGGAGATAGGGTCTTTGCAGATGTAATCAGGTTAAAATGAGGTATAAAGGATTAAGATGGGTC